CCTCTGATTTTGATAACATACTCATGGGTCTTCAAGGCCCTTTCAGAGTGGGTTGAAGTTTCAATGTTAAGTATTAGAGTAAAATGTTATTTGTTCCTTTTACTGTGTTGATATTTTGAGTGACAGGGCTCAAGAAATACTGGTTAAATGTCCTGATGCTTCAGTGTTAAATGAAGGTAGAGACATTAGCTTGTGTCCTTATAACCATATACTTGGAAGAAGCAAAAAAAAAAAGACACTTTCACTTAAATGTGCCCTTGAATTTGATGAAACATAATGGCAACTAAAATGAATCTTAACCCGTTTGTTTTATTTGTCTGCGTGACTCAATGGGTAATTTGTATACAGTGGTTCTCTTGAGAAAAATAAAAACAATTGCAACAACGAATTATAATTTACCTTTTCCTGCAACATCCTTTTTCTTGAAAAACAGACTGATAAAGTTCTAGTATCAAACATGAATATCTTGTTGACATTTTCTACATGTTCAATATGAATTAGTAATTTTTTAAGAAATCCCTGTTTTAATGCTTAGTATTTGAAATAATAGTAACACACATGAATAAACATTTTGGGGTCCTCAATTATTTATTTTTCTGTACTGGGGATTGAGCCCAGAGGTGCTTCATCACTGAGTTACATCTCAGGTGCTTTTTGTAAATTTATTTCTCATTTTGAGACAGGCCAGGCTTGTCTTGAACCTCCAGTCTTCCTGCCTCATCCTCCCAAGTAGCTGAGATAATAGATAAATGCCGCTGTGCCTGTCCATAGTTTTTAAGAATATAAGTGTCTTATAATTAGAACAGTTTGACTGCTGCTAATTTGCATATAGCACCAACTCCAAGGAATAAAGGAGATGGAGACATATTTTTATGTTACAACACATGTATATAATCAGCAAAGTCCAGAAGGTCAGAAATCCTATGATAGGAATCTCCATTTCCCCACAAAATAAGTATGATAAATAAAAGCAATATAAAACTCTTAACATGTGAGAGATACTCACATGGTTAGATCATGATTTAAGCAAAACAAAAATAAACACTTTTATGAGATTATTAGGTATAAACTCCTCACTCATCCCTTAAGACATTACTGACCCTCACTTCACTTAGTAAAGTGTTATGAGTACCCAAAAGAATGTTGCTGTTATTTTATTTAAACTAATATTATCTTTT